AGTTGTCAAGCTAACGTCAGTTCCTGTTCCCACCACCCACTACTAAACTGCACCTCGTTTCTTGACCATGTGGTGATGTGGTTTTGGCCACGCAGTTGTCATGCGTATATTTCTTGCATAGCATAGTACCTGCACGCACTGCTCCTGCACGACAGGGTTATCGTCACCCTTGGATGTGTGTGAACAAGGCATGTCACCGTAGGCATCTTGTCTCCTCCTTCTTTTCCCTAACCTCTCTATCTTTTTCGCTCAAACTTTCAAGGCACGTACGCAGTATGGGATTCGTAATAGGAGCATGTGCGACAGTGTAAACCAGGAGCCGGAGCAAGCAGAAATGCATTGCAACTGTTCTGAAGTGGGTGAAGTCACATCGGCAAGCTCCGCCTTCTCCCCCAATGGCAGAGAAAGGTGGGGAGGCGGCGCGAGAATTCGAAACCAGTAGAAAAAGTTGTTCTAAGGAAAACTTCTTGCGGCAGCATGTTCACATAGAAAAAGTGCTTATATTTCCATTCATTACAATTGTTGGACCTTGGGCTTGTTTACTGCCCATTCAAAACCCTATTATTATTGACGGCAATATCTTGGTAGACTTGAGTGCGGTGTCTTAAGCACATTTACCATGACGAAGCATACTGGTAAAAACAGAATGGATCTTTTTATATGCATCTTCACTCAGTTGGAAGTCAAGCCAGAATATATGCTCTCTTTATACATTGTCTCATTCAAGTTCAGCCAAATATTTTCCCATTTCAATGCATGAGTAATCCTTATACATCTTCAGGGATTATGAAACTATACCTCCAATCACTGTCATTAAATTTTTTATAGTTGAGGTTTGTTTTCTAAGTAAGAAGAGATGTTTCCTCTTTGTTTCTGTCTTTTTTGCTTTATGCAGTTTTTCACTGTACAATCCACCACCTTACAAATAGGTCAGGTATTTTGTAGCAGTGCATTATGCCTTATTTTAGCTATTCTTATCATCCACCACCTCAGCCTGTCTGACCCCATTGGTAATACGTAGAGGCTCAATCTGGCTGAAAACCAAGCAGGAAAATCATAAAAAGGCTTCAGTACATTAAAGGGGCCCTGCAACAGTTTTTGAGCATGCTCAGTAAACGCTGCCTATCGGTAGTAGAGGCTCCCGACAACACGCGAATCGAATATTATAGCGCAGCACGCGGCGTTAAATTCACAATAAATGATCGAAGTCAGCTAAAAATTGCTTGCTCTTTTCTCAACAAATGACAGAAGACGCTCAAAAGTCACTCCTAGAAAGCCCATCTATCAGCCATTGGCTGATTTAAATATGGCGCGCTCGATCGTTACAGAGATCGCCCCGGGAGGGGGCGACCTGTCTACGCGTGCGGGCACGATCACACTGAAAAGTTGCACATTTGAAGAAAAAAAAGAAAAAAGTGCTCAAGGTCACAAGACGCTGGTGACATATTTTCTTTGCCCCTTCCAACCCTCTCTGCTTAGCTTCCAGTTCTTTCGTCGGGACGAGAGAAGAGAGAATGCAATTGCAGCTTGAGACAAATTGTAACTCCACTTGCACTGGATGGATTCTTAAAATTTTTGTGGCATTGAGTTTGTGAGGCAATAAGCTTTTCCAGTGAATTGATTCCATGGTTACTTGAAAAGGTGTTTCAGGGCCCCTTTAAAAGCATCACCTCAAGGTCAACAGGCACAAAAATTTTGTAAATATTGAGTGGCAGAAAAAAAAAAAAACTTATTTATTTTAGTTCATTCTTTACAATATTGAGAAAAATTGAACCTTCGATGAAAGCAGCTCATACCTTTACTCAAACTTCCTTTGAATTTCAGTATTTTTACATTGTTTGGGTTTTAGCACTTATCATTTTTTACATGGAATTGTCAAGCCAGACATGAGAGGGCTTGCTAATCACCTTACCAAATGGCTAAAGTTATTGCGATGACTGATACAAATGTGCAGATATGGAGTGAATGTGATTTAAAAAAAAGTAAGCAACTTTTGCCTGCAGTTTTATTTAGATGCAATATAGCTGATTTAAGAAATGAACAAAAGGTTATAAAAATATGTGCATGCTGTGGAGGTGCTACTACTTTCTGTAAAGTCATTTGTGCCTCATAGCGTACGTGTTCCGCACATAGGCCGCATTTAGGGTTCACAATTAACTGTCGAGCAGTAGGTGGCATTGTGCTCGCGAGCGTTTATTACCACCACCATCATCATCATGGTTAGCGTGATAGCACCGGCAGTGACACCTGGCGGCAAGCCTGGGTGCAGCACATGAGAGATGAGCGGTCCTATTTGGCGTGTGGCAGTTGGCGTGAAACACATGTATGCCACGAGGCGCAAGCGACTTTACAGAGATGATAGCACCCTCACAATGCTTACACGATTAAGTTATACCAGCCATCTGGCAATCTCAGAAAATTATTTTGTGCATATGGCTGCGTTTTTGTACCACACATATTGAAAGTAAATCTCCTTTTGACCGGCTGTTTCATACAAAGAAGCATTTGACGTGGCTATTTGCCTTCTGAAAAACGGCCGTATGCGTGCCTGTAGGTGTCTCAGAACTTATACAGGCAAACAGATACGGTTTGCACAGCTGCTGATATATACTGCTATGGCATGTAAGATCTTCAGTTCACAGGCATGGCATGACGTGTATTAGTATTACCAGAACATTGTCCCTGGTCAATTATACCGCATCAGTCCGTTACAGATACTTTAAATTAACTGTGCCTTCTCTCGCTTGCATTTTTATTTGTTACACACAAGACAGTGGCAAAGAAGTATGTACTATATGTTTGGAAGTTCTAAAGGGGTCTTGCAACACTCTTTCATGGTCAGAAAACGCTGTTGATTAGTAGTTAAGGCTCATGAGAACATGCAAGCCATACATTATTGCAAAGTGCATGGCTTGGACTTAACAAATAATTCTCAAAGTCAGCTAGAAATTGTTCCCTCTTCCCTTGACAAATGATGCCATAAATTCAAATGACCACGCCATTCACCCCAAGTCCATAGCCACTAGCTGATTAGGCATTGCGAGCTGCATAGTTACTGCGGCTGCTGCGATACACCATCACATGCCCCCCCCCCCCCCACACAAACAAACACACACACACACACGCACGCACGCATGCACGCACGCACGCACGCGCGCGCGTGCGCGCTCACGATTTCACATTTAAAGTGAGCCGTTTTTTTAAAGAAAAAAAGAAACACTGCTGGAAGTTGTAATGCAATGATGAAAGAACGCTTCTTTCCCCCTTGTCATCCTCATTACTGCGTAGCCTTCAGTGTCTTTTCCAGTCTCTTTTTTTACAGCTTCAATGAAGAAAAGCCATGGCCCATAGCACATATTACACTGGATAAACATTTAGTGATTTAGTGAGAGTGCCTCATTGTAGGTGATTACTGCCACAAGTGCACACGCTTGTTGCTATGTGCCAGGTTGAGTTTAAGATATCCCACGCAGTGAAAATTAATTGCGTTCTCTCTAAGACATTTTTTATAGCCAATTGGGCAGTTTCAGGGTGTATGAACAACATAATTAAATGCATAATCTCTTGGATGGTTGCTTCACTATACCTGATGCCAACAGTGTGTTTGCCAACTGATTTTACTCTCTTATATTTAAGCCTGTAATGCTAATGCTAAAGTAAGTAGAAAAATAGCATTTAAAACAAGAACCTCCAGCCGAAGAGGTTTTTGATAAAGTCAGCGGGTTTGCATTCTGCGTGGCAAAGCATGCATGTAGCTTTAGCAACGGTAAAACATGCGAGAAGCTTATTCATAGTTGTACTTCTCAGCCCAGAATTTGTGCATAACCTTTTTTTTTATGCACACAGCATGGACAAGACGCAAATATACACACTGACAGATTGTCGCATCGAATTCAATTTTACTTGTACCAGAGCGTCAAATCCTGAAGTTCTATAGACAACCAGTCGCGGCTACTGGCGTTATTAGGCCCAACACGTTCCAGTGCTTTCGCAAGCCGGATGCACTGTAACTCACTCACTACACCAAACACAATATTGTTCATATCATCATTAATAAAAATGAGCCAATATGTCGCTCTCTTTCACCACTCTAGTTGCCACAATAAATGCGGCACCTTTTCCGAGATAATGCTGCTGTTCCTTGTATATGGGTTCACTTTCCCAAATTAAACAGCTAGCCAGCATGGCTCATTTTTTGTTATCTAGCTTACAACACATCCACTTCTGGCACATACCACAAGCAATTTCGCAAACATGTCTAGAGATATAAAGAAAAACAGTCGGGCATCAAACACTGAGACTGTACCATGTTGTAATGGCTGTAGTGGTGTTTTGCTAACCTTGGCCGCTGCATATGCGTTGGTGATGTTACTCAGTGGCATAGCTGCTGCGGTGTGACTTGCCCCTGGACAGGTCCATTCCTGAAGGCAGCACCTCTTCTTCCTTTCTTTTTTGGAAAACCCAGTCGTTGCTCCCAAACTCGCTTTCAAATTTATGTTGATAACTCAGTTTAGTGCAATACATTTTATACACATTTTATTATTTGACAGCTTGTCTCCCGAATTTACTTGATAGCCTATTTCTGAAGCTTTTCGCTCTGGTTGGGGAGGGATCTCGTCAGAATATGTCAGTCCACCTTCACAAACCTCCTTGAAGTTGCTTCTTACCTTGTACTTGTTTAATTTTAACTTTTATCCTGAATCCAACACCAGCTTTGCACATTTTTTGGTGTTTTGCACAACATTTTGTTGTGATGGGGGGGGGGGGGGCAGTGGCCTCTCCTTCCTGGTTACACCACTGGTACAGGTGATCCAAATACTCTTATGCATTAATTTTTTGGGCTCTCCTTTGTCTCTAAGCTACAGTCGGTTGTAAAATGAGCTTGGATATAATTTTTAGATCAACTAACACAGACATTTTTTATACTGTTGTTGGCTTCCAAGGCCCATCATGAGACATATGGAGCTGTGAAATTGATTAATTATATTCTTTCCTTACAGATGGCTTTCACAAAGTGGCTAACATAAACCAGGGTCTTAGATCAGACCGAGAAGAAATTGAATTTTTCCATAGCTGCTTCATTCGGGGACAAGGATGTCTGCTAGAATACATCAAACGAAAGGTAGATACTGCAAGCTTTTGTAGCACTTGTTGTTTGTGTCATGTCACCCAAGAGGAGTTGTTTGGTCTTGATGATAATTCATAGTAATAAATTTTAATTAAGAAGGAATCAAATGGTTAGAAAGTGACACAACACAACACTGCATGTATAAGTGTAGTGTCCCTTCATCTTGGTCTTTGTGTTTGTGCTGGGCTAAAAATTTGTCATGCTACATTTTGACTTGTACCTCTTCATGATAGATGTTTTTTTTTTAATCTGTACTCAGGGCTAAAATTTTCTTACTATTTAATACACTTCTGGCCTATTGAGACTCTAATTTACTGCTGAGTTGCTGCGGTTGTGGAGGCACACAAAAATTTGAAACACCAGGCAGAGCTGTTTCAGGTCAGTATTGCAAGAATGTGAGCAGAAATTTTATTTCTGTTCTTTTGATAAAGGAAGATCCACATCAAAAAAGTATTCCTTTAATCTCTGGGAGAATGGCTTTTAATTCACATTTGTAATAAAGAGGCTGTTGAGAAGCATGTTAAATGTGGTATGCGTTCTGGAAAACGTGTGTCAAATTCAACGCATTGTGGAAATCGGTTGCACGTTAAGAAGACGTCTAGCACCAGCCTAAGTGGAATCTTGCCTGCTTTGTGATGTGTATTGACACCTTTGTGTAAAATGAATTGTTGTGAAGTTATTGTGGGCTTACCAGGCAGGCCAACTATACACTGGCAATTAAATAGTATTTAATGGTTTGATGTCATATCAGCACTGATGTTGGAGCAGAGACATGAGCTTTTATCAAAACTGAGGGCACACTAGAGCGCATTGATTTGTACATCGGAAGTAGTGGTCATCAGAGTGTTCCTCCAGGATAGGGCAGCTAGGGCAGCACTTGACTATTGCTTGTGGAGTCATATGTGTACATATGTAATGTTTATTACATTGTTTTGTAGGTGACTAGCCAAACACAATTGATGTTGCCCCAATATCACACCTTGTGGAGTCTTGAGAAATGTCACACTCTCCAAACACATTAAGAAGTAGATGCGATCGGACAAACCAAACAAGTACAGTAAAACATCGTTAATTTGAAGTCACTAGAACTGTTAATAATCTTCAAAATATGCGGTTTTTCGAATCATCAAGACGTGCAAAAAGTGGGATGCAAGGAACTTTGAATTATTGAAAGTATTATCCGCAGTGGTCATTTGCTGTGCCAGGTTGTCTGCAACTCCAAGGGTTATGCTTTCCCGCAATACCTGTGGCCAGTTGTGCTGCGAACACTAGTGAATGGCGGGCAACACTGCTGCCAGCAGAAAAAAAAAATCTCATGGTCAGCTACAATGTTTGTATGTGGGCAAATGTTGGGCGCAGGCTAGCCAGACATGCACAGATAACACCCAAAGACGAAGAGGCATCTCTTTATGTACATATCAACAGACACCAGACTACATGAACATGCACATATACATGTTTGTGGGCTTATGCAGGGGTTTAAGGTCAAAGTTTCTCCACTCAAACTGCACTGTCCAGGAGCATCAATTAGTGCGGCCGACCGGGGCGCTGTCAGTGTTGGCAGGCAGGGTGCATTGTGCTTCCCGAGTCCGTACCACGCGTTGCCTGGCCTAGAAGATAATTGCCAGGGTTATCTCAGCACGGAAGTTGATGCCTGAACTCGCACCTGCAGCCACAACGGGAACAGCGTCACAATGAGTGCCACGAACGTAAAAGGGACACCTCCTTGGACAACGTCTCGCACAGTGATAGGAACAGCAGCCAGCTGCCAGAAATGTCGCGCCATACCAAATCTGGGGACAGGTGGGGCGATGACCAGCCTGGAAAAAACCCGGGACTGTTAAAAACGAGACGAGGCCCGGACAAGCAGGGTCACAACACGATGTCGGGGAGTGGCCCGATGCTCGATTTCCAACACTTTTCTGTGGTTTGCCGACATGTCTCCGTAACTCAAGCGCTTTTCTCAAGGCCCGTGCTTGAACACGTGCATAGTCGTGCTTGATCAGTTCACAATCACAATCACAGTGATTCCCGCAAACTACAAATAAGCCCCGCATACCGATAACAATATACGTCAAAGCTGACAACATATCTTCCTTGTCAATGTTTTGCCATGTCTTCCCCCTAGTTCAAGAACTGCGAGGCAGTGGAGGATGAAGGGAAGGTATCTTCATAGAGTACGTAACTGAATTAAAATCTGGGTGTGTGCTACATGACAACGCAATCCAAATGCGTATAATCAGAGGTAGTCTAGTCATTACTCATGGATATTTGGCTGAGATAATCAGCAGCAACATTGTCTGAGCCACGAATGTATTCGATGTGGAAGTTGAAGTTCATCAAGAGTTGGATCTGGTGTTCTGTTCGTGTATTTGCTTGTGAAGCAGGGTTGGTATGAGTTAGCTGTTGGCGGTCCCATTGCAAAATGAGGTGCTAACTGTACAGGTACACCTGGAATTTCTGCACATGCCATAGACGACACAGCAGCAACTGTTGGTGGTGTATGATCATTGGTTGTTCTCTCCTTATACCTTTTAAACATATAGATATCGAAGACAGTGGTGCGATGGCTGAGATCAATGTCATAGTCTAATGGGCTCTTTTTAACCACCACTTTAAAATAACCCTTCATGTAAGAATAAACATGTTAGAGTTGGCGGGCAAAAGCACGACCACTTTGTCGCTGACGGCCAATTTTCGCTTCCTTGCTTTTTGTCGTAGTACCGCTTGTGGCTTGTGTGCGCTTTGGAGAGTTCTTGAGCTGCCATGTCGCAAGTTCTTTCCAACCGTTGTTTCATTTTAACGATGTACTCGAAGGCTGACTTCATCACCTCATCCAACTTTGGATTCGTCCACAAGACTTTGAGAATGGTCATTTGGCCCCGAACATGCTGGTTGTACAATAGTTCGAAAGGAGAGTAGCCGGTACTTCTTTGTGGCATCTCTCGGTATGTAAACAGAAGAGGGCCTAGGTATCGATCCCAATTTTTGGGTCATTCATGGCACATGAGGTCTAGCATATACTTCAAAGTACCGTTGAAATTTTCAACGAACTTATTTGCCATTGGTTGATACAATGTTGTCAGTAACTGTTTAACCAATAAAAGTCGGCTAAATTCTTTCATGACCGAAAACATAAAGTTGGTCCCACTCATTGACAGTTTTGCTTGGCAAGCCTACTTGGGAAAATATTTCCATTAAGCCTTCTGCCACCATTTTGCTCTCTCAGAGGCCAGACGTACAGCGTCTGGATATTTAGTAGCAAAGTCCACCATCGTTAGAATGTATCGATTGCCCTTATGGAATATCGTTGAAATATGGGCAACGGTGTCTGTCCCAACATGGGAAAAGGGCTTCTCCATGATGGGCATTGTGCCATGTGGAGCACGGCCAACAAGATCCCGAGGTGCAGTCCATTCACACACATCGCAGAATTTCATATACCGCTTCATTTCAGACACCAGGCCACCAGGCCAGGCCAGTAGAATTTGGCGAGAATGTGGTTTGGTGTCAAAGAAATTCCTGGATGTCCTGCGAGAATATCCTTATGTGCAAGCTTTAGTACTGTCTCTCTTAATTGTACAGGCACAAAAAGCTGCTTCAGCTCTTTCTTGAACAATAATTCGTGTCATCGGTACAGAGTTCTAACATGTCTCATGACTGTCTACGGTAATTTTTTTCCCCACACTTTCATAACACCATTGTGAAGTCGCGTCATTTCGTTGCAACTTTTGCATCACTCCGTGTATTGCTCCATCTGCAGTTTTCAGTACCGAAAATCTGGAAGTTACGGTGACCCCGCTACTAACTGCAGCAGATGATCACCGCAGGTTCACGCTTAGCGAGCCACAGGGCCGCGACTCCGTCACTTACTCGCGTGTAGTGCACCGCTCCGCGCGCGCTTAACTAATAAGGCGTTTAGTGCGGCACGGCAAACAGACAGTGTTCTGATACAAAATACACAACACTTTATTGCCTCTGGCGGCACCCCGAACAACAGTACAACGTCCGCTCCCGGGACGCGGGTAGCAAAGGCACCCGCACGCAGACATTCACATTAAGGGGAAAACCGCGAGCACGTCACAGCTGGCAATGGCGAGCTTTGACACGCCGGTCGGGAAAAGGTCCCTCACGGCTATGCTGCGCACTCTCACGATGGCCAATGGGCCTGGTCGCAAGTGTTAGGGCAAACCCCGTATGCGTAGGCCTACGGCAAGTGCGGCTCGGTGTGGTACGACCACTTCAAGCACTAGGCACTGCTGTGGGCTTAGCGTACGGTACCGAAGCTAGCAGTCAAGTAAACACGCCTGCCGAGGTGCCACAGGCCACCCCAGACAGGCTACAGTCCGGCGATTCCCCAAGGGGACGCGGACGAAGAAAAACACGTGCTTACCCGGCGCCGACCACAGAGGAGAGAGCGCTCCCTCGGCGTGTGCATACCGAGTGCTGCGCCCGCACGAGGCGCCATTTATCGCCATGCGTCGTTATCAGAGCAGAAAAAGCAAAAGGGTGTGGCCGTGCGGCGAAATGCCCGCGAAATGGTCGCGGGTGGGCCTCAGATCCCCACAAAGTTGAGCATCTTGGAATTCTCTGTGCAATGGCAGCTCATTCAATTGGAAGTTCCCCTTGGTCCTCATTAGGAAAGGCAGTAAACTTTTATCTTTGGACACCTATGTGTTCTTGGCACTAGTTTTATTAACCGTGCATCCTGATGCAGAGGTAAGGTCATTCATTCCTGTCATCTCCTTGTCTGCATGGCTTGTTTCATGCGGCTGTTGACCCTTGTACTCTGTTCCTGGCTCTGTAGGTAGCGCACCTTCAATATTCCCCAGGACCACATTGTAATGAGGATTCTGCCTGCACTTAGCACCGCACGGTGCCAGTGTAGTGCCGCTCTGATAAGTAGTGCATGGTGCAGTCTGGAAGCTGGAAGAAACCCTGGGCTCTTTGTGTTTGTGAAGTTTTCTTTCATTAAAAGCGCTTCCCTAACAACC